TTTCAGGGATGAAGATGTTCACATCCTGGACAGAGAGGAACGATGGTTTGAGAGAGGAGTAAAGGAGGCCATCTTTGTGAAAAGAAATCGTCCATCGTTAAACAGGGGTGGAGGCCTCCGGGTTCAACTGTCCCCCTCCTACAATGCTGTGATTGCTAGTATCACTCAGCCCTCTGTGAACAGTAAACAGCCATAAGTGTGCTAATGATCCATTGTTAGGCTGATGGTCCTTCTTGAGCATGTGATCAGCTGGTTTTGGTTGTCAGCAGCAAAACTGGTTGATCCACTCTGAGACGGTGCTATTTAAGAGACTGAGCTGAATACAGTCCAGAGGACCAGATTTAACTTTTTTAGATTTTTCTACCTGGTTTATTGAGCATGCATCAGGACATACAAAGCATACTTAATATGTTTATAAATAAGTTTATGTTTTGTATTTTTATAGTAGGTAGATCGCATGGATTTGCTACTTTAAAGGTCACTTGCATACTGAAAAAGTGTGGGCACCCATGGTTTAATACCTGTCTTTCTTTTTGTCACCTGTCTGCAGCTCTGTGATGGGTATCAGTACCAGCTGGATGATTTTACCTGTGAGAACTGTCCGTCAGACATGCGCCCCAGCCCTAACCGAACAGCCTGTCATCCAACACCCATCATCAAGCTGGAGTGGAACTCCCCTTGGGCCTTAGTCCCTGCCTCCCTTGCCATGTTTGGTATCCTAGCAACCAGTATTGTGGTGATAACCTTCATTCGCTTTAATGACACCCCCATTGTCAGAGCATCAGGCAGAGAGCTCAGCTACGTCCTCCTGACAGGTTAGCTCAAGTAAATCAAACATCATCAGTGATGAAAGAGGATAAACTCACCTGTTGCTGCTCCCTCCACAGGTATTTTTTTGATCTATCTTATCACCTTCCTGATGATCGCAGAGCCGGGTGTGGTGGTGTGTGCATTCCGGCGCCTCCTGCTTGGTCTTGGCATGGCCATTACTTACTCTGCTATGCTAACCAAAACAAACAGAATCTACCGCATTTTTGAACAGGGTAAAAAGTCGGTGAGCCCGCCCAAATTTATTAGCCCCACCTCGCAACTTCTCATCACCTTCATCCTCATTTCTGTCCAGGTGAGTGCACACCTGTCAGATGACATGCAGGACTCATTGCAGCATCTCTTCAGGCTTTTGTATTTTTGTCAGGTTCTTGGGGTGTTTGTGTGGTTCGCTCTGGTTCCTCCTCATACCATCATTGACTACGAGGAGCTTCACCCCACAAACCCAGACTTGGCTCGAGGAATCCTGAAGTGTGACATGTCAGACCTGTCAATCATCTGCTGTCTCAGTTACAGCATCCTTCTCATGGTAACAAATCAATCAGTTATCAATGTCTTACAGACCTGAGTAACAGGTTAAATGATCAGTGAAAAATTAGTCATTTAGAAATCAATTGTATTTCCAAGCTTTTCGTGATGGTGTCATCCAGACCAACATACTAGTCCCGAATGTAATGTGTAGGGCCGTGCTCATTGTTGACTTGTATTGCCTGTACCCACGATTCTCTCAGTGGGGCCTTAGAATCCTGAGGGAAATTAGATAAAAACATGAGTCAGATCCAACCAGATGTTTTTATATTTCTTTTGTTTCTTTTAGATTAATGAATAAATGACTAAATAAATAAATAAATATCAACAATAGCTTGTATCAACATGTTGACACAGCACACAAATCTTTATATTTTTTGTCTTAATTTTTTTTGTGAAATGCCGGTTTACTTTCTTGTTTTTTAGATTTTCTTTCTAGCAATCCTTCAATAAAGTCTGCCTTTAAGCATAAATCTTAAAATGTCCCAATAAACACAATTTTCAGCCCTGTTCTGGTTAATTTTGGCAAATTTTATTTTTTCTGATTGACTGATTTCTGATCATATTTTACCTCATTGGTGCCCAGAGCATTTCACTAGGGAGACATCCAGGGGATATGCTTACCAGATACCTGAACCACCTTAACTATATCCTTTTGATGTGGAGGAGCAATGGCTTTATTCTCTGAGTCTCTCACTGATAAATGAGCCTTGTTTTAGTAGTTTTATCTAGACTGACCCTGGGTTTGTGATCTGCTCAGAGATGGGATTATAATGAAATTATGACCCAGTTCTGACTGGTTTAAACAGGGCCAGCAACTCTAAAAATGGTCTCCTAGGGATTCAATATCCGTCAAGGAATATTTTATTTTTGCTTGCTACATCACGCAGAAGACTTTATCCACAATCTCATTTTTCCTTTCACATTAAACCATATAAGAGTCCATTGAGATCACACTTAGTCCCTCCCCCTCATCCATGTGATAGGCTGTGCTCTCCTTCTACAAAGGAGGAATCTTGGGCCTATAAATCTGTCATGTCATGGGACAGCCACCCCTTCCGGTTTTTGATCTCGCATCGAGATCAAGAACCCCCTGTGAATAGTAAACAGCCATCAGTGTGCTAATGATCCATTGTTAGGCTGATGGTCCTTCTTGACCATGTGAGCAGCTGGTTTTGGTTGTCAGTAGCAAACTGGTTGATCCACTCTTTTGGATTTTTCTACCTGGATTATTGAGCATGGATCAGGATATCATGCCACACTCTCCCACAGAAAAACAAAACAGGAAAACCAACTTTAATGATAAGATTTGCTAAATGAAAGCATAAAATCAAACTATTAAAAAAGAGAGAAACTAAAGGGATTGGATGTTTATCTGAATAAACATTTGACAAAAAAATGCAGACACAGCAAGGATGGCAAGATTCATTCATTCATTCAACCTTTATTTAAACAAATAAATCACATTGAGCCTTGAAGACTCATTTACAAGTGAGACCTGTTTGGACAGACAAAAACAGTGGTTAACTAGACACATGTAGGAGTTGGAGGCACAAAAATTCCTATCAGACGTTTTTCTTGGCTGAAAATAACCCTAATATTGAAAAAACACCTCGCACAAACAAGCACATATTTACGTAAACATTCTGCAGAGCAGAGCAGGAAGAAGGAAGAGACGAGACCGGTCAACAACGTCTACAGATGCTCTTGAGGTTACTGTAATCAGTCAATGTCCTCCGATGAGATCCATAAACATTCTCGAGGTATGTTGAGGAATGGCCAAGAATAACCTCTGAGAATCCAGAGTCCTGAAATGATGGCAGAAAGTTTTTTCAGTGGGGTTTCATCTGGTTATCAGTTGGAAATTCGTCAGGGAGGGGGTGGTGAGCGTCAGATCACATTTTCTCCAGGTGAAATTCAGATAAGGTGGCCTTCAAGCACTCCAAGGCGACCAAAATTTAGATAAACACACAGTGGTTTTGGAGACAGGCAGAACTTAATGACATAAACCTTGAGTCTGTGTTTGGTCCACTCGGTTCTAAAATGTCCAAATTAACATGGCCACACCGATGGAACATGTCTGAGTAAAAAATCGCCAAGATCTGATCCATTCAGCCCAAAGCATTTGAGTCCGGGTACTCCAGACATGAACCCAAAAAAGGCAAGCAGCGTGATCGGGTCCAAATTTGCTGCTGAAGACTTCCTTGATTGTAGATAAAACCAGCACCAACTGAATCCAAAAAGCAGGAACCAGTTATCAAAAATCCAATTAAATATGCGTCCTTAAAATCCACAGATGGCAGCAGAGATAGACACATCATAAAGTCTTCCAGTCGATGAGATATCCAGCTGCGTACCTGCCAAAAGTGTAAATTGGCTCGCCTAAAGCCTGTCTTCTCTTGAAGAAATGTTGTAAATTGAGTTGAGGGACCAACTGGTCAGAACAAGTCCATAATTATGGTTCGGAAGTAATGCAAGAGAGTCTCAGAGTCTCAGAAGCAGTTTCACAGACAGACAGAGCAGCAAAGCAAAGCGGAGAGGGAGGGGGAGGAAGCATCCGATCTCGGCTTGAGCAAGTGGTGAAGGTGAAGATTACTCAGAAAATCCCAAAAAGTTCAATCTGGTCCTCTGGACATTCAAAAAAACAAAAAACAAAACAAAGCAAAAAACATCTAGAAACGTTTTGTCTCTCATCCAAGAGACTTCCTCAGTCTGAGGTGCTGTTTTCAGCTCAGTCTCTTAAATAGCACCTTCTCAGAGTGGATCAACCAGTTTGTTGCTGACAACCAAAACCAGCTGATCACATGCTCAAGAAGGACCATCAGCCTAACAATGGGTCATTAGCACACTGATGGCTGTTTACTATTCACAGTGGGCTGAGTGATACTAGCAATCACAGCATTGTAAGAGGAGGACAGTTGAACCCAGAGGCCTCCACCCCTGTTTAATGATGGACGATTTCTTTTCACAAAGATGGCCTCCTTTACTCCTCTCTCAAACCATCGTTCCTCTCTGTCCAGGATGTGAACATCTTCATCCTTGAAAGAGTGACCGCTGGCCTGGAGATGAGTGTAGACTGCAGAATCTTGGCCTGATGATGTTGATCTTCTGTGCAGGGCCATCCTTTTGGCCAGTGGCTGTTTAGTTTCCCCTATTTAAGACTGATCACAGCCCTCCTGACACTGAACAGCATACACAACATTACTCTGTTTGTGCCGGGGGACTGGATCTTTGGGATGAACCACTCTTTGCCGTAATGTATTTTGGGGTTTAAAAGCCACTGGGACGTTATGTTTAGAAAATAAACGTCTCAGTTTCTCTGATACCCCCTAAACATATGGAATGACCACTAGTCTGGGTCTGGGTTCCTCCTTTTCACCTGATGGCTGACTGGAGTCCTGTTTGGGTTTTTCTCTGCTTTCAGGAAGGCCCAGTTAGGATATCCACATTTCTCTAGAGCCTGTTTTGTGTAGGATCTCTCTTTCTGCCTGGCTCCCGAGCTAGTGGGGATGCTGTCTGCTCTG